CCTGGCCCACCAAGATTTCCGCCACTGTTTTCATGTGAAAAGGCGCTGAATATTAAAAAAATATAAATAAAAATAGAAGGCCTATAGGTCTATAGGCTGTACAAAAGTGTCGTGATCTGTTGGCTCGCGTCATTTAAAATAGCTATAGTAGTTAATAGTATAATAATTAATAGTTTTTGCTATAGGAATTAATTTTCCTTTAATATATTAATGCTAATTATACTAAAACCCCATTAACTAGGAGATATATGGTTAGTAACTTAGTATTCTTGTTCTCCTGCGAGTGAGATAGGCAAGCATGCACTTTGTTGTTGGTTTCTCCAAATCTAACCAGCGCCTCCTTCTGTGTTAAGAGGTTCTAAAAACAATAGTGTCCTGTGGCTCTCTAACAATGTTATTTCTTTTTCATTCACACAGGTATTGGGTTTTGTATCCATGGCATTGTTTATTGCAGACACCATTATTTATATCTCCATTTTGACGCGAAAGAATGTGTGGAATGCGTGTAGGCGAAACAATGCTTAGGCGAAACAATTAATGCTCAGGCGAAACAGTGCTTAGGCGAAACAATGCTTGGGTAATTAAATTTGATAACGATCTTGTTTACTCGAAATCGATTTTTGTCACAACACTTGCAGAAAATTCCACTTCTTTTATTGAGTAAATTGTCGCTTCTTTTATTGACTCGATAAAAGAAGCAAAATTTTCGGCAAGTGTCGTCACAAAAATCGATTTCGAGTAAACAAGGTCGTTAACAAAATTTAATAACCCAATCATTGTTTCGCCTAAGCACTGTTTCGCCTACACGTATATATATATATATATATATATATATATATATATATATATATATATATATATATATATATATATATATATATATATATATATATATATAAATTAAGGTACAACAATCAACAAAATCCACTAGGCATCTTTATTACTAAATAGTTTCGTACCACAAAATGTGGCACTCTTCAGATAAATTGACCTAATTGTCATTAGGTCAATTTATCTGAAGAGTGCCACATTTTTGTGGTACGAAACTATTTAGTAATAAAGATGCCTAGTGGATTTTGTTGATTTGTTGTACCTTAATTTAAATATGCTCTGGCTCCATTGAGCACTTTGCCAAAAGTTTTTATAACCAACAAAACCAAATTTTATATATCATATAATATATATATATATAATATATATATATATATATATATATATATATATATATATATATATATATATATATATATATATATATATATATATATATATATATATATATATATATATATATATATATATATATATATATAATTTCGCTTACCTCAAAATTCAGCAACACTCTGTTTCATCAGTAAAGAATCATGATTCTTTGCTGATGAAACAGATTATATATATATATATATATATATATATATATATATATAGAGTGTCGCAGTTTGTTTTGTCCAAGATTATAGATCGAGCCGAAAGCTTTTTAAGGGAATCTTTGGCTGTCATTTTGTGACTCGTGTTCAATCACGAAGCAGAGACAGCTACGGTGGAAGGATTAACTAACGGTATAATACCAATCCACTGTGATAACATTCCCTGTAAGACGAAACCGGAGTTCCTGGAGAAAACCCACAACTTTTGTCAGAGATTTGACTGACCCTTCTACCTTCATTATTCCTCAAGGTTTGGCCATAGGGTAGTAAACGATGAGATTCAAGCATCCTGAGATAATATACCCTTCCAAATGCTATATGTTACTAAATGCAAAGTGACTTACCAACAAGAGTAACGAATTGGAAATCCTTATTGAAATAGTTTTTCAACACTGAAGTATAAGTCTAAGTTTTTGAACAATTACTATATATATAGTAGGCAAAAAGTGTGCATGAATCAGCTTACTATATACTGTAATTAAGGTCATGCAGGCTATCCGTGCTTGTTCGCTTTGGGCTCATTCAATGCGGCACCAAACATCTTGCCACAATACAGAGTGGGAACTTCATTTAATAATCCAGACTTTCGATTCCAGTTCCATTTTATATTAGGCCGTATTCTGTGACCCCAAAGGTCGCTTAGAAAACAGGTTTCGTTGCCCCCATTCGGGGAATACTTTTAGTTTACATAAATCTATAGATTTTGATACGCTGAGTACGAATTCACTTGTTGTAACTCACTTGTACATACGCTTTGATACGCTGAGTACGAATTCACTTGTTTACGATCAAACATCAACATTTTTTATTAAAATTTCCGCCATTTTGTTCAGGAAACTTCATGTTATATACAGTTATTGTACTAGTCCAAGTCTCTTAGCAGGGGGGTTGCAGAAATGAAATAAAAATATAGATATTTTTTCACAATATAAATGCAAAAGGTACTGGTACATGTTTGTAAATAATTAGGAATTAATCTATTATTCTTTATTGCATCAACTTTTGTTTTTTTTGGCTCATCATGATGTGAAATTGCAAAGACTGTCACTATATCCATAAAGACTCTCACTTTTCATTGGTAAAGTTGTTTATTTTATTTATTACTGAAATTATGTACATAATTTTGGCCTTACAATTTGAAAAGGCAATTTTCCTGAATACTGTCTACCTGAAATTTTTGTCAACAATAAAGTTTTGAAGGTTTTATCCCGCAGAAGAGATTTCAAAATAAATTTTAACTTTGAAATCTTCTAATGGGGTGTTTATATGGAGGTGAGCCAGCCCATGCACCCGAGCTAGCTCTCTTTGCTGAGCTGATTTTATCCCATGTTTACATTAGACCCTTGAGGTGGGCTGTCTTGCCAAAACAAATCACTGGTCTTACCGCTATAAATAGTATAATATAAGTAAATATATTTTTATTTTCCAAGATCTCACCTAGGCAGGCCAGCTCGGTTCCCATTTAAACACAAGATAAATGTTAGTATAAATTACATAGCAATGTTAGATCTCGACAAAGCAAGCTAGCTCGGGTATCTGGGTTGGCTGCCCTCCATATATAAACACCCCCTAAGAAAATAAAGAAATGTTATTTATATCAATAGATTGATGTGAATTATGTATTAATTATTTAATGCCCAGCTGTTATCCAAGATCTAAGGCTTGGAAAAGAGTCTTGGCCAGGCAGGCCAGCCCAAGAGGAAAGAAGGTTTATATAACTAAGGCATATTGGTAGGTAGTGATGCCAGATTACTTTAAATTTCTATTGTCTGCCTGGTCAAATATAAAATATCCCTGAATCTCCAGTAGTTCAGTTGGTAATTAATGGCAGCTCAAATAGGATTAGAGCTTAAGGTGATGATGGATCATGACAATATGTTGTATTTAATATTTTTTTACACATTTAAACCTCAAATGGCTCGATCAATTAATGTTTCTAGGTGGCATGACTTTGAGATTTGCTTGTGTGAATATAGTTTTTTGCTCAGCTGCTTTAATTGTTCCAGCACGCCCATGCTTGCCTCAACAGTCTCACATAAATTGAAAAACCAAGCTAGGCCGGTTGTTATATTGTAGCTGTAATAATTGGGGCAAATGTCCTGTGCAGCCACCATTTGCTAATGTGAATACTTAAATAACAATAAAGTAATTAAAGAAATATAGCAAATCTAGGTTGGGTTAACTCCATATAAACAGACAAAAAGTAGCCTGTCTGTCAGAGAGTGAAAGCCATCTTCCAAAAGTTTTTATTTATAAAGCTCAATGTCCCATAATATAGGAAAAATATTATAATACAAGAAAATGGAACTAATTATGTGCAGATTTATTAAAATAGATGAGTTAATTTTATTGAGGTCAACTGCTACTAATAATTTGATGGGCAATGGTCTACAAATAGGTCTAACATTTATTGAACAATATATTGTGCTCCTTATTCATTGTTGACAAAAATTTCAAAGAAAAATTGCCTATTCTGGCTATTCACATTGCAAGGCCAAAACTATGTACATAATTTCAGTAATAAATAAAATAAACAACTTTACCAATGACAAGTGAGACTAGCTGTGAGAGTCTTTGTGGATATAGTGACAGTCTTTGCAATTTCACATCATGATTAGCCAAAAAAAAACAAAAGTTGATGCAATAAAGAATAATAGATTAATTCCTAATTATTTACAAACATGTACCAGTACCTTTTGCATTTATATTGTGAAAAAATATCTATATTTTTATTTCATTTCTGTATATTTTTCTCAGAAGAATGATAACAAACTGCGTAATACCGCGTGCAACCCCCCTGCTACGAGACTTGGACTAGTACAATAACTGTAAATAACATGAAGTTTCCTGAACAAAATGGCGGAAATTTTAATAAAAAATGTTGATGTTTGATCGTAAAATACAAAAAAACTGCAGGTTTGTGCGAGTTACAACAACTGAATTCTTACTCAGCGTATCAAAATCTATAGATTCATGTAAACTAAAAGTATTCCCCGAATGGGGGCAACGGAACTGAACGATAAGCGGCCACAGAATACGGCCTATATTGCGGATCGCGACTTTCGATTCTAGTTCCTGGAATCAGCATGATAAAATCCCTCGCTCGGATGAGCAATGTTTAGTTGCTGCGTAGGCCAGTCGATACGTATACATAAATCATCATACATCTTCGAAGAGGAGTATTGGCAATCTACCACTGCAAAAACATTTTCTTCGTCGGGTACTGGTATAATACTAGAAATATTCATTGAACTGCCAATATATATAAGGGTAAAAGGTTTAATCTATTTTACGAAATACATGTTTGACAGTTCCAACAAGTAGCTTAAAGCAAGCATTAATTTGCGACAATGGGCAACTGCTGTAGATAAAGATCGACGAGATTGTCATTGCCTTTGATTGTCCAGCGTTTCTGGCCCTGAATTATCGTTTTCACGAACATCCGGTGAAATTTCATTCAGAGGCATAAAATTCTTCGTATACAAGACGGCGAGAAACGGCATTTTGAAATATTTGCTTACACTTTCGTATTCGAGAAAAGGCTTGCATTATCAAAGAGTTTACTTAAAAGTTGAAATAAAACACTACTTGTCCGGAAAAATTTTAATTTTCAGAGATTGGTTGAATATAACCATTAATATATTGGTGAAAAAACATAACAAGAGTATTTGAGAAATTTGGAAAATATCAACAGCTCCAGAGGTTTTACTGCTTTATAAGTTCGTTAATTCAACAAAGCCTTAGTTTATTCCCCTTCAGTTAATTAGAGCTGTGAATTCAAACACACAGTCTGGTCTACAATATAATCCATATAGCTATAGTTTCGGAATGTCCTTTAGTGAAATGAAACTGCCAGTTGTTTGAACGAGTGCATTTTTAACATTTTTGTAACGCTCTTTCCTAGTATTAATGTTCTCTGTTGTTTCATATTTTCTCACGCAGCTAAAATATCCCCGTAGCCGCATAGGCATCATGACATATGTGATTTTCAAAGCGCTGCGTGGAAAATATATAGAATCAGAATCAGAATCACATTTATTTCACACGTATTTAAACTAAGTAAGAATAACATACAGAAAATTTATATAGTTACAAGAATCAAAGCCCACATATTAAAACTGCTATATTAAACAAACGTGTACAGTGATCAAAATAGCGGAATGCTTTCGAGTTGATCACTGTATATATGTATCATATTATTATATAAAAGTATATGACGGCGACATAACAGAACTGTGTGGTATTTATATTTGGGAATAAATAAGGAATTGACTATACCTATTCTTAAAAACAGAAACTGAATTTGACTCTTTTATATGGTAAGGAATTGTCTCCCAAATTTGTGATGAAATAAATCTGAAAGTAAAGATTCCATAATTTGTTCGAGCATTCGACCTAATAAAATTTTGTTTTTCAGCAAATCTAGTAGAATAAGAGTGCTGAGTAGATGCAGTAGAAATGATATTTGAAAATATCCTAGGGATATTTTTATCTTCGTTTATATAATATGCATATATAATTATATAAGAAGAGAATAAGCTTATTACTAATGAACTATATCTTGTATTCGAGGAATTATATTACTAAGAGTTCAGTTGATTTCGAAGAAAAACGAAAGTATCAC